CTATGATCTCCTTTGACATGAACAATGGGTTTGACACTGATGATTAACCACCCTTTCTTTTTCATTGCACTATTTAACTTTGTGCGCACCTCCTGTCATGTCAGCTCAGTCTCATATGTTTTCATTTACATATCAAGGGAATTAGTTTTACTTGCTTGATGTTTTAATCAAACCTGTTACGATGCTTTCTTATAATTTAAAGAATTTTGGCATGGTTGCTAATGCTAGTGCCATCGCATATACTTTGGATACAGTTTAATGGCTTTATTGACTTGGATTCATACGATACAATAGCCATGCGACTTAGGGGGGATGGAAGGTGCTACATATCTACTGTAAGCTTCTACACTGGAGTTGCAAGAATATGACCATAATTCTCTTATTTGACTTTCATCATAGGGTTCTTCAATTTCAATTGAATACATACTGAACTTGTGTGGCAATTGTTGCTTATGCAGATATACACCGAGAACTGGATAAATTCACCGGGACAGCAGGAAGACAACTCATGGCAAGCTTTTGTTTTTGTTCCCAAGGATCAATGGCATATTGCAAAGGCAAGTTTTCTTCTGCCATTGTTGTTAGTTATGATAATATTGATCAAACATTACAGCTTGATTGCAGTATATGCGAGCTTGCAAAATTACGCCATTTTGTCTTGCACTTCTTTGTCAGATCCCTCTAGATCGATATTTACCAACATGGAAAGGCAATGTGATCAGCACAAAGGTGGAGATGAATCCATCACGCATCCTGGCCATGTCTCTTTCTGTCAATGCGGAAGGTGGCATTCCGGGTGCTAAATCCGGACCTGGAGATTTCAGACTTGAAATTGATTGGATCAAAGCATTGAGAACATAGTGTTCTATCTACAACCCAGTTTCTTGAGCAAGTATTTATCCTCGGGGGTGCTAGTCGCATGTCCCCTTTGAAATTTTTTCCTAGCATAAATTGCAGTCACTTGTACACCTGTATACTGTATACATCATTATTGAATGTTTCACTTTTTCTCCTGAAGCTCAACATGGCATCTTACCTGTTTCTTTTCTTTCTTGTACCTTCGTGGAAAGTTGCATCTGGTTTAAGCTTTATGGTTGAGCTGTTGTGGGTCAGATTTGCTTGTTAATACAGATGTTTTATTCCCCTTAAAGCAGCGAAGCTACATATCTGCATCTTGAGGAAATGTGAAGCCTGGATGGTATGTTCTTCACCGTTGGTGGGCCCAGAGTTTGATGCAATGAATGGATAGGTAACCTGTGACTCGGTTGGCTGGATTTGTGTGGCCCCATGAGATCACTAAAATTAGATTCTTGCTGGTACTTGCTCTTGTGCAACAAATTCTTGTATCGTATATTCATCATCAATAAATAGAGGAGCAAAATTTGGTTCAATGTGTTGTTGGCATTTCTATCAAAATCGCTGAACTATATGTATCATATAATGCCATTTAATTGCTTGATTTTTCGATAACTTTCAGGGAAATGGGCCATCCCAACTCACACACCACCAAAACCATGTGGTGCAGGGCTCCATACCTCGAGCACTCAGGCAAGCATCTCATCTCCTCTTCAGATTCAACTTGGTCTTTCGTGTTTGTTTCTCTACAACCACTTCTTTGGTGGAGCATCAGACCTGTCGCTGAATGAGTGATGGTTCGTAGTTCCTCTTGGCATATCACAATCCTACTTTTACCTGATCTGATTTGGTGTCAGATTTCAATCCTTTTGCTCTCCCATTCTTTCCATGCTTTCATCGGACTCGAAATCTTTTGCTAACCTGCTTCCAGAGCATTAAAACCTCATGTTTTTGTGTGCTTCCATGCTTTGATAGAGATACAAATCACAGACTATGTGAATCTTTCTGACACATGATTCACTGTGACCATTTCAGAAGTTTGAACTTTGAACTCGAAGTCCTATTAAATAAACTTGGCTATTCCAGAGAGAGAGAGAGAGAGAGAGAGAGAGAGAGAGAGAGAGCACCCAACCAATCACTGCTTTAAAAAGCAAAACAGAAGAATGCAAAATTAGGGAGAAACAGCATTCACACTTCAAATTTGAAGGCCACCAGCACAGGCGATAAAAGAAATAAAGGAACAGCCTTTCTTCCTTATTGTTAGACGGAAACAAAGGGAGGAGGGTCGTCGCCTTTGTTCCTTCGCTGATCTCCATCCTCTCCTCCCTCCCCCAATCCCCTTCCCCCACAAACACCAATACCCATCCAATCTCGCTCAGGTAATTAATTGCTTTCCCATTAGGAATCCGATTTGTATGCGTCTGGCGAAAAGATTACACGGTCAAATACATGCAGTTGCGTGTCTATTTCTTCTTCCGCTGAATCGTTGTGTGCCCTTCTGGATTCTTCTGCTGCCAACCCTTCTGCCGTATTAAAATGCAATCTTTACCTGTATAGAGCTCCGATTCACCTTCGGGATCCAATTCTTCTCCAAGATTTCTGAGAAAAAGTTGATTTTGGCTGGTCTTTTTCCGTCGTGGGGATTTTGTTCTTGGAATCGTTGGGGGCACAAAGAGGGAGCCCGATTTTGGCCGGTAAATCTCGCTTCGTCCCTGTTCCGTTCTTGATTGTTTCGATAATGCGATTCGAATTGAGATCGCCGTAGTGGAAAACCCTGGATTCGATTTTCATGTTCAGAAAAGGGACCTAATTTGTTCTTTCCCTCAGATTTCTGTTTGATATGTTCGTCTTCTTGTTGTGGGAGAGATTATAGATCGTTGCCGTCCCAAATGATATATCCTTTTCTTCATGGGAAAAAGCCGCTCCTTTTCTTTATCATCGATCTTTTCTTTGGAGAAAAGATGTCATTTTTGTTCGAGTTTCGTGTCATAGATGGCAAGAATATGGCTTCGTTTGTTGCTTGAGGTCCTATAGAATTGAGGTGTTCCCAAACATTGCTTCTCTTGATGTGTGTGTCTCCTGATCTCAATGTTCATTGATTTCTTTAACGTGACTACAGAAACTCGAGAAGAAGGGTGAAAGATAGAAGGAAGGAGCGATGGAGGCATCTCGGGTTGCTAGATATTGGTGCCACTTGTGCTCCAGAATGGTGAATCCGGTCATGGAAGAGGAGATCAAATGCCCAGTCTGTGACAGTGGATTCGTGGAAGAGATGAATGGGGAAGGAGAGGAAGTAGACGCAACTGCCGATCTGGAATTCAGCAGAGACCTCTCCCTCTGGGCTCCGATCTTGCTCGGGATGCTCAGTGGCTCCTTGCGACGCCGAAGGCTCCGCCGGGAAGAGGAGGAGGAAGAGGAGGAGGAGGAGGAGAACGCGGAGCAGGACCGCGATCTGGAAACGATTCTGCGGCGGCGGCGGCGGACCACAGCCATCCTTCAGTTGCTTCAAGCCCTCGGGGAGGGCAGCAGAACGGAGTCCGATGGTGGTGATGAGAGCGAGAGGGATAGGGCGCACATGGTGCTCATCAACCTCCTCAACAGCGCCATGGAAGGATCTTTAGGTGCAAACCAGTCCCGAGGACAAAGCTCGAGCGACGGCCGCGCCGGTGTCCCGTTAGGAGATTACTTTCTGGGACCAGGATTGGATCTTTTGTTGCAGCACTTGGCGGAGAACGATCCGAATTGCTACGGAACACCACCGGCTGGGAAAGCAGCAGTGGAGGCAATGCCCACTGTGAAGATTGAGGAGAGCATGAGCTGTTCGATTTGCTTGGAGGAGCTCGAAGCCGGCGCAGAGGCCAGGGAGATGCCCTGCAAACATAAATTCCATGGTGGGTGCATATTGCCATGGCTCGAGCTCCACAGTTCGTGCCCCGTTTGCAGGTTTCAGCTGGCAACAGATGAATCCAAGGTCTCAAATGTCAGTGCCAGTGCAGGTGCCGGTGTCAGTGCAGGTGCCACCAGGGTGGAAGCTCATGGTCAGAGTGGTAGTAGTAGTGATGGAGGGAGTGAGAGAGGATTCCGGTTACCAGTTCCTTGGCCTTTAACTGGGTTGTTCTCCTTGTTGGGGTCTCACCGCACCGGCAACTCCTCGTCCCAGCCATCATCCTCATCATCCTCGACTGGAAGTAGCTCTCCGACTGATGCAAACTGACGGTGGTGTTGTTTCAGTGCTTGAGCTCGATCTCCTCCTGCTGCTGCCGCCGCCTTGTGCCAGTTTGTTGTACATACTGTTTCATTTACCGTGATGGATTGTGGAAGAATAATTCCTTTCCTTTTGTTCTTCAATTTCTTCGAGTTTGATCCCATCTTGATGTTTTCACCTGTTCAGTATATGCAATATGTGGCTGCAACAATCGGAAGGTTTCCATCTATTTGTCAGCTATCCAGAATCCATACTGAAGGATACAATGATAGGACTACAATATATTACATGTTACTCAGTATGAACATTAATGCAGGTTTCATAAACTCATTAATTCAACAGTAATCTGAATGTTCCCTCCCCTGCATGTTATCAAACTTAATGAAGAAGCATCACAATTGATTATAGACAGGAGAAAGATGGTTGCTTCCAGACAGATTCAATGGATCACATCACCACGCTAAAACTCTGCTGCCTTTAACAAGCTCCAATTAATTTGGTCAGAGTTAAAGTTTACCAGAATGAAGCAGGAATCAGCTGTAAACATCATCTCAGATCGAAAGCCTAAGTTGCAAAAAAAGGCACAACTCAGAATCTTCATTAAACAGCAGTAGTAAAATGTAATGTGAGCTAGCTAAGATCAGCTTGAAGAGCTAGAAGAGGAACATCTACATGCCGGTAATCGAGCCTGGTTACTCAAATTTGAAGGACAAAAATTATGTGTGAAAAGGAGAAGAAAGATGCTGGCTGGTGTAGATACATACCAAAAAAATTTGGACATTCCTAACATTCGATACAAATAACCAGCTGAGATCTGATAAAGAACACACATGCAATAAGAGAAAGCAAACTTAAACATCATTTGGCTGCATCGTACCGACCTCATATGCTCACGCTATGATGCAAAATATATGACACGACCAAAATAGAAGCTCTCCCAGAACAAAATACTCAAAGAATTCCCTCCAGGTAGGTGAATGCTAAGCATAAGCACATGCCTCTAAAAGATTAACCTTAAGAAAACATACTAAGAAACAAAACCCAGAAACTCAAAATAGGGACATATACTAGTTAACAAAATTGTGTACTGATAGGAAACTTAAATACTACTGAACAAAATCGTGCACAGGAGATTTTTCAGCTATCATCAATGAATCATTTGATTGTGTCAAAATCTGATTCATAGATGCAACTCCAATTCAATGCAGTGTCACAATTGTTTATCTGGATTTGGCCTTTGCATGCTGTATAACAAATTCAGTGTCTGAGGCCTTGGAAATTGCAGAGATCAATACCTGGTACCAGTCCGAAAAGAAATCTATCAACCAGGGAACCACTACAGATAGTATTGGCATTGCTGGCCTGTATTTTGCTAGTTTAGAAAACTCCCTCTTCTGGTCAGGACCAAGACGAGAGATGCCTTGGTAGGATTAGCATTTCAGACAAACTATGATGCAAGGCTCTCAACAGGACTCATATGAACAGGTGTTCTGCCATGATTCCTTTAAAACAGATCCATGATCCATAAAAGAGACTTCTTCCAAGCAATCTGAATTGCTAGTTTCAGGTAAGCACCTCCAGCTGTTTCACCACTGAGCACGTCTCAGTCACTGCAATCAAGAACAGCATTAGCTACAACAGTTGCTTCTGCTTGAAGGGGGACATCAAATTTCAAGCATATTATATCTTTTCAAAAGGAATTTCTATTCTCAAATCTCTCCGTGCAACCATAAAAATTCACAAGAGTAGCATCAAAATTGGCTACCCCTTCTTGATTCCCAGCCTGCAAGTAATTAGAGTGAATGTAAGCAGTTTAGATCTTGTACACAAATATAAATGAATCCACACACTGACAAACTTTAGGCATCAGCATGATTGAATTGGTATATCGTCCAGGTACCTTTCCAAACTTCAGAAAGTTGGAACCTCTGGTTATAAGGGAGAAGGCAATCATGCCAATTTTGTTTGGGATGTCCCTTTTCTAGGATATTCTCCTTTTCCTTCTCTATTGGTGCAAAAAGATCACAACACCTGGAAGATTTATGTTTTCTCTCTCTCCAAGAATTGCAGAATTCTAACGGAGCAACTGACCAGCCCTAACTACTCACAGAAAGAACCACAAGTGCAATAGCCTCAATAGCATATAATGTGACAGTCTGGCTCCAAATCCTCAGCCAAGTTTCTGTAGCTCATGGCTATCATGGTATCGTCACCCTTAATGCGGTAACCAATAGCGACGGTGATTTGTTGACACTTTTTCAAATGGATACATTTGCCACCTTTGGAAAATCCATTTGGAACCTGGACCCTGTGAGTAACATAGAATATGTTAATACAATAATTCCAATTGGCATTTACAAACAACGGGCCATTCGATCAAGAAATTCAGTCAAACAAACTTCTAAACTCATTAGTATAAGAGTTATGATATGCTCTACAAACTTCATGTTTCCTTTCTAAATCAGATTGACACGCTCCATCCTACTAAGATTTCTCAGGTTCATATCTCCTGCAACTGACAATTTCTTTGTGTATCTTTTACTACTCAAGTATCCCAACCTATGACATTCTAGGAGTTACACTTCCAACATGCTAGCCATAGATTAGCCAGACCCAACAAATGGATCAACTATAAGTTGTAATGCCTTAGACTTGTTAAATGTATATTTTTCTTATTTAAGTTATATGTCATGAGAACCATGACATGGTCTAGTGAGAAGAATTCCTCTGCTTTCAAGATCCATCTAACTAGAAAATTCTCAAGTTGTGAGTATAAATCATTTAAACAAGCACAAAGATAGACTAGAAATTTAACACATACAAAGAGACTATTAACATCAATCTACTTCATTCATGAATCAATCTGTTTGCTCAAGTCCATGCCCACCCATAGACAGGTTACAGTGACAACCGATATATGTATAATTAGTATACACATTCAAGTCGTCTTATACTAATAAGCGATATGTTCTCACACTGCATAGTTCTAAGGGTGGTTTGGACACATTCAGATCACTGAGTTCTAAGGGTGGTTTTGACATGTTCTCACACTGCCTCCAGAATGTGTCAAAACCACCCTTAGAACTAAGCGATATGTGTCAAAACCAACTGCATCAACTTTGTTACACAAATATTAACTTCAGCCAAAAACAATGTATAAGACAAGCAGTTGCACTACAACTAAACCAACCTCACTAACTTCACAATATAGCTCCATTTCAAGAAAAGCATAATCAATTTTTCCATACACATTCATCATCACCCAAAAGTCCAAACAATAATCTAACTTCTCTCTAAAATAGCAAATATGTATCAATCCTAAGTGTAATTCCACATCTAAAAGAATTTGATGAATGCACTATCACAAATTTAGATTTAAGCATTCTGGTCAATGGCCGGTCATACGATGAATGACATCAAAGCAGATCAGATCTTGGGCCTAGCGAGGGGCGAGTAAGTAAGAACTACATGTGGAGGACCAGATAGCACCACAACATGGTATGGAACATTTGATTCTGAATTATGATGGTTCTTGACGATCGTTATCGAAAGCTTAAGCGTTTTGGATCGTTAATTCAGGCTAATAATGACATGGCAAACTCAGCACCAAATCAAATAAAAAATTACAAGTCCAAGAACCCAAACGGAAACCCAATACCAGGCTCAGATGAGCGATCTTGACATCAAAAATCCCATCTCATACACTCAAAATTTGTGAACCGAGAAGATCATCGCAAGACAAAAAGAAGATAAAAGACATGAACTACGACAAAGCAGAATCCCAAGAAAACCAAATCAAGACCAAGTCAAGAGGGGAAAAAGAGAAACCCAATGATGCGACAGTGGATTAAGATGCGAAGGGGAGAGGAGAGACCTTTGCGTCGAGAATGGCGGCGCAGAGAAAGCCGGTATTCTCCAGGGCTCTGCGGAGATTGTCTAGGGTCTTTCCCGGTGAATGGAGCGGGAACGGCGGAATAAAAGTTGATCCTGGGCAACGTTCACCCTAATCGACCTCGACGCAGGGCCCAAGTCGTACACGATCTTCGTCTTCCGCCGCCTCCCCGACGCCTTCCTTCTCCGGCATTCGCGAAAAAGATCCCATCCCACCGAGCGAACCCGCGGGTTGCGAGGCGGAAGAGGTTGCAATAACAACGGCCCGTTTGGGTACCACTCGACTACCTGCTCGTCTTGTCATTCGGGGAAAAGTGGACCCGCTGACGGCTCATGTAAGGTACGCAAACCGGGTGGACTGCAAGAGGTGCAAAAAAGTACTGACCGATATAAAAATCATTTTTATCTTTTTCTTTAATTTCTATTTGAATTTTTTAAAAAAAATCGAAAATAAAAAAATATATCTTTAATTACTTTTATTTTAATTTTTGAAGATCATCAAATCCACAAATTAAAAAGAAAAAAAAGGAGAGCTGGTGATTTATTATTTGTGCAAAATTGATCTCAATAATATTTAGAAAACTCAATGTTAATTCACAGGAAGAGAATGCTCAAACAACAGTGATCCATTGTTTGTGTACAATTATTATGAACAATATATAAGCCCATGCATTCCAAAGATGAAGACTTGATTCCAAGAACACAAGAGAAAAAAATATATTAGAAACTGTGCGTTCAATCATAAGAAAAAGAGAATGCTCATGAAATTACAAAATACAATATAAAACTGAGTGATTGCATGTGTAAAAATATATCAGAGAGAAAAAGTGTCTTACGTTTGTGATGACCACTTAGCTGCATGACTGACTGCCAAAGAATCATTCATTCATGATCTTTTATTTAAATCTGGAACAGCATTCTGTGACCTGAAGTCTACTCGGGACCTCACCATTCCTCTCTGTGAACGGTCTGAAATGGTACACACCATTGAGAACCCAAAACATTAAAGAACTTGTTTGGATGGCCAGATGCTTCTTTGACAGCTCCCCTGCAAATAAAAGCTTATTCCAGGAATATGTTAATCATATTGAGCACAGGGGAAGGCAAAACTAGTGGAGGCAAAGCTTATTCCGATGAAGCAAGTGCTAATGCATGACCAAAGAGATGCACAGTGTGCACAGTAGAGGAATAAATGAACCCAACTTTTACTGGTGGAAACAACATATGGATGCTCCAAGGAACATATGTACTTGTTGCTCCTAGCTATGTATCATAGCTTGATTGGAGGCCTAAAATAAACTAAAGATATCAAAGTTCTTAACTACTCAAATAGTGCTTTACATTCTTCACATAAGCAGCTTAAAACTTTCTCTGCTATTGTACAGTTTCCAAATTGAGATGGAAGACACAGGAAAAATAACTGACACCAAAGGTCCAAATAACAATCAAACTGAAAGGCACATCCTTAGCTGTTCAAGGGGCCAATCAATGTGTTGGATGTTCTCAAGGCATGGGTTGTCATTTTCCCTAATCAACACTGCTAAAAAAAATATCTGAAGATTTAACAAGTTACAATAATAACATGCATTAACTCTCAAGATCAGGTAAACTAATAACCAAAGGCTAATAGCAAGAATCTTTATGAATGCTGTAAGTTGGTTTATTGGGGATGTAATCATTCTATGGTATCGTTAAGAAGTGCAGGAATTGTCATAAGTTTCAATCATCCTTGTACTTGTTGAACTTGAAAGAAGAAACATATAATCTCGCTGTAAAAGAGCTGATGAATCATAATAGGCTTCCAGACAAATTAACATCCACAAGTTTGTCAATGCTTGCTGTATCTACCTCAATCCAAACTCCTTACCTAGTTTACATCAACAACACACTCTTTCAGGGCCAGTTGGAAGTTATCAAACTATACCAGTGTATTTTGCATGCAAAATCTTGCATAAACAAGATATCGACATATCAGCCTGATAATGGTTGTCTTGTTTTTTGGCTGAGTTTGATAACATGGGCAAGTTGTTGAATTAACTTGGTTTGATTAATTTTTTAGACAATGATTATAAAAATCCAATGAAATGTTGCTTGACAGATGAGGTACCAATGTGAGATTGTCCAGGGAATATATTTCCCATCAATATCAACATATGAACAGGAGAAATGACGAATATATTCTTACTTTTTCTATTGATAGAAAGATAGAACTCCTTTGCAATTGCTTGATTCTTGTGATTCATCCAATTAGGAAGGTGGTTGGAAATATGCCACAATGTGCTGTGGAGATTGATAGAACATATAATCATTTTGATGGACCACACAAATGAACGAAAGGCAGTGCAAACAAAATATTCTCTCATGGTCGCAAAGTGGCAATCTCATGCTGAATTATATTCTCATTCCAAGGTAATGTTATCCGCTCGATGAGTAAAAAATATTTTAGATGTGAATCTTACTTGAACTAATGGAGCAGAATATCACTATTTAAGATTCCTATCTTATTATTGGTCTATAAAGTCGATCTATAATTAGCAGGAGATCTCTACCACTACAAATTAAAAGAAAAAACAAATAAATTTTTTCTCCCAATACATGGTAACATGGTCAAATTTTCCTAATAGAACATGGGTTAGAATCTTTAGACACAGAAAGTTAAAGCTCTATGAATTAAAGCCACAAAAATTCTAATAGTCCATTTAATATTCAAGGTTTCAGAAATAGATGAAATATATATAGCCTTAATCTAGTAAAATGAATCAGTGTCTTTACTGCGGTGTAAAAAAGGTCTATCTCCATCTCAAGCCGTGAGCTGATCCGATCACTAAAAGGTGTGAGAATTTAACAAATTGATGTTTCTTGTTAGATATTAACCACCATGCATTTCACTAGATAAAATTTGCTGAACCAAGCTTATGGTTTGCTCCCATAAAAGGACTCGGACTCGGGAATTCAAGGGATACATCAATGCAACAGAGGGGAATATGTATATTGCTAGAAAAACAGACTGGCTAATCTATTTAGCCATTATTGGAAGGCTTAGCTCTGAGGTCTTGAACCTATTGGCACAAAATAAATGAGTATTTATGTCCACGTCTGCTGCACTAATACTTGCAACTAATCCAAAGCACATAACATTCAAATTAACACGAACAGATATGCATGGATGTCTGGCTGACACACTACATGCTGATAGAGGGAGATTTAGTGGTCCAGGGGTTCATGAGGTTTGATGTCTGAAATGTGATCATCACATTTCCTCTATATAATGTCCTTCCCTTAGAACTTTTATCGACAACTACTTCAGTGTGATGACTGCCTACCAGTAAATAGCTTCCAGATTCCTCTCTACTTTTCTTCCTGGATAACTGAATAAGTGCCAAACTAGGTGGAAGAGATAAAATGGAATTGCATCCTTATTCCATATTCCAATCTTGCTTTCAAAAGGTAGATAAGAGCATCATGTATAGTATAGTTTTCTGTTCTTTATAGAAAGGGCATATCTAGTGCTGCTTATGGATGCATCCAGTCAAACAGAATTTACAACCTTCTCATACCATAATTAATAAACAAGTTAACCTTCCATCACTAATCAAATTCCTCAATCAAGTCTATGAACTACGAATCTGTTCCAACTAGGATATATTATATAAATCTCAACTTCCATAAGGTCCAAAAATATAATAGCTAGGCACCTGAGATGTCCTTTCAGGCTCAAGGAAGATGTTCCTTTCACGTGTAAAGGCCCCCGTGATTAAGCTACCACAACTGGTTTAGGTACATAGGAAATTTGCAAGTTCTCAATACATAGGAGTCAAAATTTTGGGTAAAAAATTATGCTAAGTATAAGGTTCCCGCTTTTACTTAGAGTTTTGTATCAAAAGGATGCATGTTTAAGTATTTATTCCCTTGGACATTTGACAAGCTAAAGTTGTCTCACGGAAGTTAGTGATGCAGAATATTGCATGCAAGAATTGACAACAAAAGTTACAAGATAAAATTCTTCAGATACCTAGAGCAGGATAGACAATCACTTTTCAAACCGCAAAGATTAGATCTATAGTTTAGTATTTTGTTCAAACGTCTTCAAACTCCCTTTCATTAGCCTTATAAGAGGAGCTTTGGAGTCATCCCTCATCAGCATGAGGAGTTGAAGCAACTCAAGTTCCATCCTAAACAAGAGGAGCATACATATAGGATATAACTCTAGATGCCCTTGCTTCCCAGAAATATTACATCAACAGCATAGAAGCAAACTAGTTTGTCAGACGTCAGACTTGAATTTCTCAAATTGACAAGAAGCAAGGTGAGGGCAAAAAGGTAAGAGGAAAAAAAAACTGAAAGGAAGTTTGTTTGTCTTGTTTTTGATGGTTTCCTCTAAGATGATTATATATATTACTGAAGCAGATGTATCAACATCAACCTCATCAGAGCCACAACAACCTCATTTCTTCCAGGATAGCAGCTCCTTCAGAGAGGCAATTGTTTCTGCAGAGAGGAAGTACTACAGGAGAGTCGGGACTAGTTCTTTCAACTGAGGCCAAGCCTAGACTTAAATGGAACCCTGAGCTCCATGCAAGATTTATAGAGGCGGTGAACCAACTCGGTGGAGCAGACAGTGAGCATACAAAGTTATTTATATTTGTTTTGTGCATAACTGTGACTGTGTGTCTTCACTTACATAGACAGGGTTTTAAGAATACATTACACTTGAGGACAAAGTGATCAATCTTAAAGACTAATATAAGACCATAATCTTGCAGAGGCGACCCCGAAAACAATCATGAGACTCATGGGAATTCCAGGATTAACCTTGTACCATCTAAAAAGTCATCTTCAGGTCCTAATTAACTTCTTGATTCTTTATACTTCACCCTCCCCACCCCCCTCCCCCCTCCCCTCAAATAAAAAACCAGGCACCTTCTCTCTTTCTCTCTGCTTGTTATCATTGCATTTGAAAACTAACTTGCCTTTGTTGGTCTGTTAGAAATACAGGCTTGGTAAAAACCTCCAGGCTCAAACAAATATCAGAAGTACTAAAAATAGTAAGGGGCAGCACCTAGAGTTTATATTTGAGGTCTCAAACTGGACAATGTATATAAACACTGTTTGTCTTCATGCAGTTTTTGGGTGTTCACTAGCAGCAGAAAGGACACCAGAGGATAATGGATCGTCAAGGAACATTGCAGCCCCCACAAACAAGTATGATAACAGCAATATGCACTCAAGATTTCCAAAGTTATAACAATCTTTGGCTGATGGTACATTAGTTTCAGAACCATGCAGATAAATGAAGCATTTACAAAGCAAATTGAAGTACAGAAACAGTTACATGAACAACTTGAGGTAAGTTGTAAAGTCAATAATATCACACAACCTTACTTTGCTTTCTCATGTGCCTTTTGGATTAAACATGTGGTATCTTGCTTATTTTATGTTTTGGAACAAGGACCCTACAAGTAAAGTATAAGAAAATTTAAACACCTGAAATGTTTCAACAACTGAAAAGATCAGTCTCAAACATCATAAGTCTTAACTATTCACAAAAGGATCTTTTTTATTGATAAAGCATTAAGGTCTAGTTTTAGAGTTTTTTGTGAAATATTTGGATGTGTATAAGTGCAACTTTGCATCAATACAGAATTTGAAGAGATTACGAACTACTAGGAACAGAATAACTCAAAATGTGTTACTGAGTTCCAAATTTCATTTCAAGTTCACCCAGAAAGATTGACAGCAGTTAAAGAGTTAAAGCTGGAAGATTTTGCACTACTATGATCCATTTGGTGCTGTAAAAAATGAACAATGAATCCATCATACAAGCAATTCAAACCTTCTTTTGTTAGGTCAATTTCCTCAATTTTTTTAGATTGTACTAATAAAATGTTACTGAATTTACTGTGAAGGTGCAAAGACACTTACAAGTACGAATAGAGGCACAGGGAAGGTATTTGCAGTTGGTGCTGGAGAAGGCCCAAGAGAGACTTGAGAAGCAGAGCTTAGGTTCTGTAGGGCTGGAAGTTGCCAAAGTCCAACTCTCGGAGCTGGTCACTAAAGTCTCAGGTGAATGCTTTGGCAACTCATTTCTAGGTGTGGAAGAAATTCCTGTCCTGCATATGTCACAACTAACTCCAGCCCACTTTGCTGATTGTTCAGTAGACAGTTGCTTGACTTCTGATCGATCACAAAAGGAGCAAGATACACATGACACCACTATAGGGATAAGAGCCTGTCATAAAGATTTGCCCTCATGCATGAAACAATTTGGAGAGGACAAGCTTGAACAGACTCAACATGCATGGTGTGGTGATCTGAATGAGCAGAAGATCTTTAGTTCTGTTCCTGAGGTACAAAGAAAAGAAAACAATGAAGATAGGTTACTTGAACACCCAAGCAGCAATAGATCAGTAGTCAGACAGGAGACTAAAAAGCAATCAGATGGTTTTGGACTGTCATGTCTTACAACAGAACTAGAACTAAAAATCCATGAAGATGATGAAGGTGCATCAGGTTGTAAACAATTTGAACTGAATGGCTTTAGTTGGAACTGACAGAATGCTCGTGGAAGAGAAAGATAGAAAGGATGGTAAAAATCAACAAAATAAGTTGATCCAGAGGATAAAGTCTAGTGAACAAACTGAGGATGCATTACGGTGAACAAGTATCAAAGAGAATGTAATAGAACATCATGTTGTCAAGGGTTCATAATTCGCATTATGGCAATGTAACAAGTAGCATCATCAAGATAGCGTGACTGATAGGTTAGACATCACAGTTTAATAGTGATTCATATTCGCAAGATCAATTCAGCTTCAAAAAGGGCGAGGAAGAAATTTGAATTTAGAATATAATGCAGAGAGGACTCTACAAAAAGCACTCACCAAATTCCTAGAA